ATGTTGTCTTGGGGGGAAATCGAAAGACATTAGAAAGAGTTTTGTAGTTTTGTTACTGGAATTTCTTCAGTAAGTTTTTGGTCTCAGGAATTTGAGAATTGAGGCTGTGGGCCACAGATCAGTGATGAAATGGCATTCTGTTGAACTGAGGGACATGCAGATGGAGTGGAGAGTGCCAGAACTATAGGCAGAGGAGCTGTGCCTTGGAAAGTGTTGTGGTCCGGGCAATCTGGTGAGCTCTGGATAGCCCTTGAAAATCTGGAAGGGAGACTGTAAATCTCGTGGGGAACAGTGTTGTAACCATATCAGCAACAGGTCTCCTGGGTGGATAGCCTCCAAAAGAGGGGCGGAGGCCCAGGTCAGAGATTTCTTGCATGAGTTCCCTGTCTAGGGGTAAACAGTTGGCCCTGAGAGATATTTTGGCCAGGACTTGGTAGATGAAAAAAATACCTTTACAAACTGAATGGATGTTCTAGCAAATGGATGGATGCAGCTCCTCACCTTGGACAAGGTTATTAGATCTTTGCCGCGGTTTTTGTCTGAGGAGAGGATTAGGGCGTGTGCTCCTTAGTCTGGGTGGAGCCAGGCAAAAGGTTTCAGGCTGCTTTATTCATGACCTGGCTGGGGCTCAGAGTGTTTGTACTCGAAGATGGGAGTCTGATATCTGAGCCTGAAAAATGGGGGTTCCCTGTCCAGCTCTGAGTGGAAAAATCATATATCAATGTTACATCTCACAGAATGTCTCTCATTTGTAAAATGGAATCATATGATTGTTTAAATTGTTGGGGAAACTGAGTCTTTGTCAAAGGATAAGATTCTTGCTTTTTAAACCTTCTAATTATCAGTTTGGCTGAGTGAATGGGTGACTTCATAGTGAACTGAGATTATGTTTTGTGGAGAGTTTTTGAGAGTAAGAAAAATTACACAGAAAGGAGAATGGCATAGTGTAAAGAAAGAATTTGTGTGATAAATTTTGTCCTGAAAAAGAATGGTTGTGTAAAAAAGTGAAAGGCAGGGCAAAGTTAAAGAAGGTTTAGAATGTTTGTAGATTGTCT